CAAAAGGCAAAGCTTCTTGGGAAAGATGCTTTTAGCATTAGCCTATCACAGCAAAGAGCAGAAAAGATGCTCAAAGAGCAGCATTGTAAAAGCAAGGCATACATAGATTTACAAACCAAAACAAAACACCTGTCCTATTATGCCAAACTCTATATCCTTTCACATAAAAACTAGTAGGTAGCCCGTGCAATGCACGGGGCTATAATTATAAATTGTTTGTATAAAAGCAATAAAATATTGATTAGTATAAAAATAAATATTATTTATTTTATTTTATTTTATGATATATAATAATGTAAGATATGATTTTTATGTTTATTGCACTCATACAGAATAGTTGTCATTTTAGAATTTTTGTTTATAATTAAGGATAATAAAATTTTAAATATTTAATTATTATAATAAATATTACTCACAATACCTCTCTCTCTCCCCTTGCCAATAATTTATAACAATATATTAATCGATTTCTAAATAAGTAATAGTAAAGTTGAAAAATTGTGTCAAATATTATAACCAACACTTAATTGAAAAAGAATGTTATATATATATATATATGGGTAAATAATATTTTCCAACTTTTACTATTCGTGCTTTTGGGATTTTCAACTTAAAATATTTTTTTTGGTAAAATGCAACATGAACTACATATATACAATTATTTGCACGCTCGACTACTTTTTGACCGTTCGATCAACATCAAAAAAGGACACGTGTATGGTCAAGATGTGGTCGAACGTGCAAATAGTGATTGTATATATAGTGCAGGTTGCATTTTACAACAAATAATACTTTAGGTTAAAAATTCCAAAAGCACGTATTGTACATGTTGGAAAATATTATTTACCCTATATATAAATAAATAAATAAATAAATATATATATATATATATATATATTATTTTGAAGTTAAAAATTATTAATTTTTAATGACGTCGATATTATTTATTTTTCTTATTACTTATAATAATGTATATTTTTAAATTTTTGTTTCTAACTTATTAATTTATATGAAATTTCAAAGATATTTTGAATCACAATATGTATTAAAAAATAAATAATAAAAAGACCGATTTGGTGCATTACTGATTACTGATAAAATCAAATGATATTTTTAAACTCCTGGAATATATAATATTGGTATATATGGCTCGTAACAAAATGATCGAAGATATTTGTAATTGATGTTGATATATCAATTCTATTGTCGTATTG